CACACTTCCAAAAGACAGAGATCGAGCGGCAGGTGGGCGAGATGCTCGAGTCCGGACTCATTCAGCATAGCTGGAGCCCATTCTCGTCACTAGTGTTGCTCGCAAAGAAAAAGGACGGGACTTGGCGGTTCTGCACGGACTATCGTGCTCTCAATACGGCTACTGTGAAGGATCGTTTTCCCATTCCGAGCGTCGACGACATGCTGGACGAGTTGGGTGGCGCGCGTTACTTCTCTAAGATCGACCTACGCGCGGGCTACCATCAGATCATGCTGGCCAAGGAGGACGTGCCCAAGACGGCTTTCCGCATGCACCAAGGACACTACGAATATCTCGTGATGCCTTTTGGTTTGTGCAATGCGCCGTCGACATTTCAGTTTGCGATTAATTCAATCTTCAAGGAGTACCTACGTAAGTTTGTATTAGTATTCTTTGATGACATTTTGGTGTACTCGAAAACGTGGGCAGATCATCTCGAGCACTTGCGAATTGTCTTGGGGATTTTGGAGGCTAACTCATTCTACATCAAACCATCCAAGTGCTCGTTTTCTCAAGAAGTGGTCGAGTACCTCGGGCACTTTATTTCTCATGATGGCGTTAAGGTGGATCCAAGGAAAATCGAGGCGATGGTGGGATGGCCGAAACCCACGAGGTTGACGCAGTTGCGAGGGTTCCTTGGTCTCACGGGCTATTATCGAAAATTCGTGAAGGACTATGGGACCATCGCAAAGCCTCTTACGGAGATGACGAAGAAGGGAGCATTCAAGTGGACGGAGGCAAGCGAAAAGGCTTTCGTGGAGTTGAAGGAGGCCATGACGACCACACCAGTGCTCGCAATGCCGAGGTTTGATGTATTGCTCGAGATTCACTCGGATGCAAGCGACATTGGAATCAGAGCAATTCTAGTACAGGAAGGACAACCCTTGTCTTATCTCAGTAAGGCTCTCGGTCCGGCGCGCTTAGGGTTGTCTGCATACGTAAAAGAGATGCTAGCCGTGGTCGAGGCCGTGCGAGTATGGAGACCGTACTTGCTGGGGAGACGCTTTCGGATTGTCACGGACCAGTAGCCTCAAGCACTTGCTCGAGCAAAGGATCGTGACGCCCGAGCAGCAGAAGTTCGTGTCCAAATTGATGGGGTTCGACTTCGAATTAGTATATCGACCCGGTCGCCAGAACACCGTGGCCGACGCATTGTCTTGCCGGGAAGACGTGGCCGAGCTCGACGCAGTAACGAGACCGACGTAGGCTGTTTGGGCTGAGCTCCGGAAGGCACAAGACGAGGATACACATTGCCGAGATGTGATCGAGAAGCTGAACGTGGGACACGACGAGGACGAGGACCATGACATGCACGATGGCTTGCTCCTTTGTCATGGTCGAGTCGTCGTGCCCGAGGCGGGATCATTGCGCGAGGACATCATCCGGCACTTCCACGATTCGAAGTTTGGAGGACATTCGGGGGTGTTCCGGACATGGATGAGGATTGCGAGCACCTTTTATTGGCCGAGACTGAGGGGCGATGTGCGCGACTACGTTTGGCGATGTGATGAGTGCCAACGCACTAAGGCGGACGCGCGTCGACCAGGCGGGCTGCTCCAACCTTTGCCGGTTCCCGCACGTATTTGGGAGGACATCACCATGGATTTTATCGAGGGGTTGCTACTCTCGAACGGGTTCAATGGAGTCATGGTGGTAGTCGACCGTCTTACTAAGTATGCGCATTTTATTCCACTTACTCATCCATACACGGCTAAGTCTATAGCAAAATTATTTGTCGAATATGTGATCAAATTGCATGGGGTGCCGCGATCAATTGTGTCTGACCGAGATCGGATATTTATGAGTAGTTTTTGGTCGGAGTTCTTCAAATTGCAGGGAACCGAGCTAAACATGAGCTCGTCATATCATCCACAAACCGACGGACAGACGGAAGTGACCAATCGCACGTTCGAGCAGTACCTTAGGTGCTATGTGCATCAGTTTCCAAAGCGATGGGAGGATTATTTACCTTGGGCCGAGTATTGGTATAACACCACTTACCATAGCTCGACTAAGGCAACACCGTTCGAGTTGGTGTACGGGCGCAAACTGCCGACGATTGTGAGTTACTCGATGGGGAGCGCCGTGAACGATGAGGTCGATCGAGAGTTGGTCGAGTGCGACTTGATGTTGCGCGAGCTAAAGCGGACTTTGGAAGGCTCGATCAATAGGATGAAGGCGTACCATGATGGCAAGCGTCGTGACGTGGAGTTTGAGCCCAGGGATTGGGTGTACTTGAAGTTGAGGCCATTTCGACAAAGGACGGCCGCGCAAAGGGCCGCGACCAAGCTCGGAGTTCGATATTACGGGACCTATAAAATTTTGGCCAAGGTTGGGAAGGTTGCTTATCGACTTGAGTTGCCGGACGATTCTCATATTCATTCGGTCATACACGTCTCGCAACTCAAGCAACGACTCGGCGAGGCGCATGCAGCGAAGGATCGACTACCCGCGGTCGCGCCGGACGGGCAGGTTATGGTGCGGCCGAGCCGGGCGATGGAGTATCGGCAAGTCAAAAAGGCTGGAAGGTTCTGGGAAGTGCTCGTCGAATGGGAGGATTTACCGAGCGAGGAAGCAACTTGGCAGAGTTGGGACGAGATGCGTTAGATGTTCCCTGATTTCTTCCTTGAGGACAAGGAGGCACTTGAAAGGGACGGGAATGATGCGGACACGGCGAGAAGACTCAAAAATGCAGCAAGTCGCGCGTGGCATGCGCGAAGGAGGTTAAGTCGCCGCGCCAGCGAGGTGCGATATGCGGACAAACGCGCGCGCGCGGGAGACGACGCGCGCGACACTAGCGGGGACGGAGGCGGGGATGAACGCACAAGCGACGGGGTACAAGCGCGAACTTGCCTAGGCGCGCGAGGATTAGGCGAGCTACTGGACGCGTGCGCAGGAATGGAAAATGAAGTCATTGTCCTTGGGCGATTAGGCAACGCGGACGCGGGCAAGGCGGTTTGGGGCGCAAGCAAGAAATAAATTAAATAGCTTGGTTAATATT